TATCCTGTATTTCCAGAAACCATCTTAGAGGAAAGTTAGAACTCCCAAAAATAGAGAATTTAATCCGTAGCGACTGAGCATTTACCTAAAGAGACTGCTAAAAATTTGAATAGGGCTTAACATATTAAGTTGGACTAAAATTAAGTTGTCCTTCCGTTTGCCTCTAAGGTGAAAAACCCGTAAAGGGAGGATCGGATTAACTAATTGAATATAAACAAACCACATTGCTTCTCTATGAAATTTAGTGAATTTGCAGCTTTGTGACAAATTCTGGTGTAGAGGAGTTTGGAAAGATTTGGGGACTTCCATTTTCACTTCAGTCCATCAGCAATGCTAAATCCTGTAGGGCAGGGACTTTGATCTCTTTTGTTCACAGCTGTATCTCCAGTACTCAGAATAAATGTCTGGCACATGGTAGGTGCTCAATAACTATCTGTTGAAGAAATGACAACTATAAGATAAGGCAGACTTGCAAAGTGCCCTTAAGGAATCACAATGCAATTTCAACAAAAGCAAAGAGTCGCTGTGTGACCGCCATCATACTCCCTTAGTTTTCAGCTCCCTCTAGCATATTATATTCCATTTTAGGCCCCCAAATTTAAGAGCAGCATTCTGCAATAAACTAGAGAGGATCCAGAAGAGAGTAGGTAGGACAAGAGAATTCTGAAAAACACCCCAAATAAGGAATAGTTGATACTAATTGAGGGAAAAAATGACTGATGAGGGATAGGATACTATTTTCAAATGTTAGAAATTCATCAAAGATGAAAATGGAATAAGTGTATGATTGCATGTTCATAATTAGACCCAATGAAAAAAATTATGGATAGGCAATTTTGGCTCAATGTAACAAAAATACCAACTTTAATTTTCCAATAACGGAATGGATTGCTTTGTGAACCAGGATGTGAGAATTACATTTTATCTTGTATTTTCTTTCCCATATTCACTGGTATTTGCCTCCCTTTCCCCTAAGCTCATTGTATCTTCTTGAAAGCAGAAAACTGTAAAATTTGGAATGTAGGGTTAGATTAAAACTTTATTACTGTTAAGAGTTGTGGGGCCTATCAACTGATTGTCAGTTATCTCAGTCCCTAGGGTCATAAGGTGGCAAACTCAAATCTGAGAACATATCCTTGACTATTGAGTCCATAGCGCACTCATTATCTGATGTCTGTTGCAAAGTGAAGTTGCAAATTTTGTACAAGAGGTAAGACATCAGGAAATTGATGAAAATGTAAGAGAATTGCCCAGTCTCATACAAAACCATTTGCTAATGAGGATTTGGTAGGGTCATTTCTGTTAATAACTGAATAAGAAGAGTCTGAAAAACAAAAGGAGTTGATAAGTGCTCCAGCGGGAATTCTAGCAACTGTGTTTGAAAGTCATTGGAGTATCCAAGGATGAAGACAGGCCCTTGGCAAAACTGATGAAGCCCTTGAATACTTTTTGCAAAAATGATCCTTTTTATATCAGTTTGACAAAAGTCACTCCAAAGATACAGGATATTGCTTCATGTTGTTACAAAATTGATCAGAAAAATTATCTTACCCAGGAAATGGTAGACAATTTATTTTGTGGTCTTTTTTTTTTTTAATATTTATTTATTTTTGAGAGAGACAGCATGAGCCAGGGAGGGGCAGAGAGAGACGGAGACACAGAATCTGAAGCAGGCTCCAGGCTCTGAGATGTCAGCACAGAGCCCGATGTGGGGCTCCAACCCACAAACTGTGAGATCATGACCTGAGCCGAAGTCGGACGGCCAACTGAGCCACCCAAGTGCCCCTTTTTTATTTTGTGGTCTTACAACTTACATATAGCTTCTGTCCACTTAAATTTTGTTAAATATTAGGTGAAAAAATATTTCTCGTAATTTTTGCTTTTATTTTTTAAGATGAATTTAAAATGAGTTTTCTCCCCCTGTTGTGAAATTTAGTCTTCATTTTACATAGATTCCATTTTGGTGGAATTTTCCAGCAATAATTATCCTCCAAAAGTGCACAACTTCTGGATCTCTTTGTTTCCTCCACCAGAGATGTTTTTTTCTCTTAGCTTTGTCAAAAAGGGACAAAACATATCAATAAATGCTATTCCTCTATGTGAGTTGCCCGTATGGATATAAAAGGAACAGCTGCACCTTATTTGCCACCTAGCACAGTACTAAGGACCTTGGAAATAATCAGTTAATAATTCTTTTTTCATTTGCTATTTATTCATTCATTCGCACTAAATAGTTATTCTGAGTTAACAAGTTATCCTTATTAATAATATGTTACCTATATACATATACAGAAATACTTTTTATGTATTATGTAATATGTTTATTGTAGATGAATTCAGAAAATAAGAAAGAGATCAAGAAAAAATCAGATGTAATCTTACCACTAGGAAATAAAAATGGATGATATTTTGCAAATAGATGCTTATAGACTTTTCTTCCTATATGTGCATAAAGTATATGTATTTATACACTTGTATATTATACAAATATATACAAACTACATAAGCATATATAATATAATATACAAATTATATAAGCATATAAGAATACATATTTGTACATCATATAAACATAGATATTTTAAAGATATTTATACTATGCATACTATTTTATAAATTGTTTATCTCAGACATTTTTAATAAGCATATATCTACCTAATCATAATGACTGAAGAGTATTCGATTACATGATTATGTCATAATTTGTTTATGAAATTTTCTACTCTTGGTCATTTAGATTTCTTCCAAGAACTTTTTTTATTATTAACATTGTAATTACACACACATACATTTATATTCATTTGTCCATCCTTTTCAGGCGAAATATTTTATACCACGTTAGGCTTGAAGATTTAAAAATTAAGAATATTAACAGAACATTTAGGGGCGCCTGGGTGGCTCTGTCGGTTGAGCGTCCAACGTCAGCTCAGGTCATGATCTCATGGTTTGTGGGTTCAAGCCCCGCGTTGGGCTCTGTGCCGACAACTCAGGGCCTGGAGCCTGCTTCAGATTCTGTGTCTCCCTCTCTCTCTCTCAGCCCCTCCCCCATTCTCTCTCTGGCTCTCTCTCTCTCTGTCTCTCTCTCTCTCTGTCAAAAATAACCATTAAATTTTTTTTTAAAAAAGAATATTAACAAAACATTTAAACATTAAAAAACAAGCAAAATGAATCTACAGGATTAGAAGTCAAGACAATGGTTGTCACTGGGGAGTCAGGTGAGTGTTTTGATTCGAAAGAGACATAAAAAGTGTTTCAAGTGTGTTTGGACGATTCTATGGTTTGATATGGAGGTCCATCACATGGGAGCGTTCACTTCTTAAAAATGTAACGAACTGTATGTTTATGACTTGTCCCTTTCCACCTTCTTGTATTTATGTAACACATTAATAAAATAAATTAACAAATTGTGCTATGGTATGCATCCATGTTTACATCCTTAAGTAAATCCTAAGAACCAAATGCTTAGTATTATCATTTTAAGTTTTCTTAAATTCATGTTGCTAATTATTCTGCAAAAAGTTTGCACCAGTTTTGACTCTTACCAACAATATATAAGATGTGATTTCACTGCATTCAAATTTATACTTACTGTCATCATTTTTCTAATGTTTAATGATTTATAAATTTAAAATTTGACTATTTCTCTGTCTAACTTTTTATTTGAAGAAGTTTCAAACTTCTAGAAAACCTGAGAGGCACCTGCATGGCTCAGTCAGTTAAGTGTCTGACTCGATTTCCATTCAGGTGGTGATCTCAGCCCCACGTTAGTCTCCATGCTGACAGCACAGAGCCTGCCTGAGATTCTGTCTCTCCCAATCTCTCTCTCTCTCTCTCTCTCTCTCTCTCTCTGCCCCTCCCCCACTCGTGCTTTTTTTCTCTCTCTTTCTCAAAATAAATAAACTTAAAAAAAAAAAAGAAAAGCTGAAAAAATAATATAACAGACACCCATACATCCTTCATTAGATTTGCCAACTTTCAACTTTTTGCTACATTTTTTTGTTTCCCTGCCTCTAATCATAGCCCCCCCACACACTTGCATGTGCACACACACAAGTGTGTGTGTATATAGGCACACACATATTATTTACATACATACATATATTATTTTTTCATTTGTGAACTATCTGAAAAGATTTAGACATCATGACAATTTACTCCTTAATGCATCACTTAAGAATAAAAATATGTTTCTACCTAACCATAATACCTCCATCATGCCTTGAAACATCAATAGTTTTTCCAAATTATGAAGTAATATCTAATCTATATTCGTATTTCCACAATTGCCCTCAATATATACTCTTTTCTGTTTTTTAAATACAGCATTAAATAAAGTTCATTCACTCATTGCAGTTGGCTGTTTTGTTTCTTCAGTCTTTTTTTTTTTACCTAGAACAGTAATACCCACCATACCCTACCCCACTTTCTCTCTTGACATTGAAAGTTTTCAAGTCCACGTCACTTGAAAACTTTCTGTTTGTTTTCAAATGTGCACAACTGTGCTTGATTTTACAAGCTTATGTTTCACAATTATTATAGGTTTGCAGGAGTGCACATATCAGCAACTGTAACAAATTTTCATTTTTGCCTATTGGTTAATCAAAGCAAGTGGCTGGATCTCCAGTTGGGCACCAGATGTTTTTACTGAGGGAGGAAAAAAAAGCATTAAGAGCTTTTAAATCTTACACTATTGCTTTGATCATAGAAGAAATAATACTGACATTTCGTTCTCCAAAGTGTGTTGTGAGGGTTTTCCTTGATATTGACACAATATATTCTTCAATGAATCAGTTAGTATAGAACCAGTTTAAAAGACCTGAAAAGGGAGTGACAGCCAAGAAGGATATTTTGAAGTTTGAAATGATCCCTATATAAATAGAACGGATCAGCATAACTTTGGGATAAAATTAGCCGACAGTTTGTGGGCTCTCGCTTGTGCCTGTTTGCTTGGTGCTACTCTCCTGATAAATCACAACAAAGCTTCCAGAGGGAGAGGAAGGATGGAGGGCACCAACACCCCTGTCACTAAATCTGCAGCTGCCAAGTTAGTTAAGAGAAATTTCCTTGAGGCTCTAAAGTCAAATGACTTCGGAAAATTGAAGGCCATTTTAATCCAAAGGCAAATAGATGTGGACACAGTTTTTGAAGTTGAAGATGAGAATATGGTTTTGGCATCTTATAAACAAGGTAAAAACTATAGGTGTGAGTGTAAAATCGATAGAAAACGGATTTGTTTTAAATGCAGTGTCAGTCACCCACTCTAAACCAGTAGCTCTTGGGGTTTAAGTATGTATTTTAAAAGTATTTCTGATTTAATCTTTTCTCTTTTTTAACTAGACACCATCATGGGTGGTATAAATATGTTTTTCTTTCTTTTCTTTTCTGTTCTGTTCTTTTTCTATCCTTGTGTCTGGAATTTGAAATCGTGAACAATTATATTTATTAATGTACTTTGCTTTTGTTTCTAACTTTTCTTCTGCCTGTAATGATATAGAATAAAGAAAACATGTCCAGATTATGGCTAAACAGACTGCTAAAATCTAATCCAGTGTGACTGTGAACTGTCTATTAATACAACCACTTAAAGATATATCATTTCTGTATCTATCTGGATGAAAAAGAGGATTTTGCCCCCATTTGGAGGGTTACTGAATGGGGAAGGCTCTGCCTTGAGGCACCTTTTTGGTCCTCAACATGTCAATGAGTTTTTAGTTCAGGCAAAAATCTGAAACCAAAAACACCAAAAAGTTAATTTTTTTTTCCTTGGCTACAAGAATAGATCAAAATTGTAGATATTCTCCACACAGAATACCTGCCTTTTAAAGAACTAAGGATAGCAAAAATGAGAACTGAATTTTTTTTTTATCTGGGGATTTTCTGGAATCCACGCTTAGGAAATCAGAAATGAATTAGAAGTGTGCAGATTCTGATTTCCCAAATCAGCTAGTTAATGGGGGAACTTGAGTAGCGAGGCCATCTGGTGAGCAGACTACAAGCAAACACCACGTTCTCCATCACTTCTGTTTAAACAAAAGAGACGATAAGGTCAGCATTTGGGGAGAGATAGCAGTTCTTTTTTCAGGTGGAAAGTACTTTTCATTTGCATACAAATCATCAGTGCCATCAATGTTCAGAAACAATGTTAATGGTATATGTTTTCACATTTATTTACCATACTCTGGTTGTTAGTTCTGAAGGAAGGATATAATAGTGGAGGCCAGTTACTGTGTTTGTGACTCTTACTGAAGGGCTTTATCATACATTGACATTGCTATTTTAGCTAGAAGATAACAGAGGTCTGGTTGGTTTTTTGTTTTTTGTTTTGTTTTGTTTTGTTTTTTAAGTAGTTGATTGGGCTCTGTTAGAAAGAAGGAGTGTGTCCCATGTAATCAGATTACTTTCACCTTATGGATTTGTTCGGTGAAAGACTGTCCGAATGCTAAATACATTTTTAAGGTATGTTTTAAGCTTATACTGGTGCTCATGTAAAATAACTGAGGTCCAAGTTGGCATAATTTATGTGACACTGAGCTGTAAAGACTGCCTTTTCCCATCTCCTAAACATGCCAAACTGCATGGATTGCCCAAGGTTCTGAGGTTGTGAGAAAGGGCATTTTAGGGCAGGTTCGAGGGAAGAAGGGTGTTGTTTCTTTTGCTTCCAATGGTGTCATCACCCCTGAATCAGAAGAAGATGCATTTTTAATCTTTTCTGTCAATATGACCAGACTCCCGTGGTGTTCATAGAGCTAAATATTCATTCATGCTAACAGGTGTTTTCATAGTGTTAGGACCGCAGAATATGCCTTTCAATTAGAGAAACAGCAAATTACACCCTCTGGGAAAGGAAAAAAGAAGAGTTTGATTCTTATGCATGCCAGATGAATGTATGCACAAAAACAATAGGATATGTGGTCATATCTTCAGGGTTTATACAGGAACTGTGTGTATGTGGGCATGCGCACACGTTTGTATGTATAGAAAATACATGTATGGGTATAAGAATCTATCTCTTCAATCTTAAACCCAGATTAAAGTCTTATCTTTCTTCAAAGCTTCTTCTAACTTTTTTTTTTCACACTTTCACATGTCTTCTAGCCTAATTATCAAACCTTTTAATATTTCAGTCAGGAATGGAAGTGATAAATAGAATCTTAGTTGCTAGCCAAGCAAAGTCGACCTAAGTGGCTGGATTAAACTTTGTGAGACTTTATTAAATCATAGCAGACTTTTTGGACATTGAATGCTATTGGATTGCTCTTCACTAGTTATTTTTTTCAAGCACTCTTGAAAGGCTCTGCACCAAGAAAAGTGTACAGATCATAAGTGTACAGCATCATTAATTTTCACAAAATAAACAAACCTATATAGCCATCATTAAGATGTGGAAACAGAAACACTACCTGTTTACTTTTAGTGTGGGAATCTTCAGGTTTTGGTTATTTTGTGGCTTATTAAGCAAGACAATGTTTCAAACCTATGAAAGATACCATGCTACCTTTAAATTTGCTTGTATGATTAATAATATAACCCACATTCAATATTTCATTGTCCTGCAGCATATCAACAGGGGTTCAATTTATCCCCAACCTTTTTTACTTCTTTTAGGACATACAGCATTTTTCATAGAATTTCAGAAAGCGACCACACTTTTCCCCCTAAATATGGTATGTCTAAGCTAGTAGACAAGTCGGTTTATAATTTTTGGAAAGACAACTCAGAAATCTGTTGGCAAGGAAATCAACTTGGGGTCTAAACATTGCTTCCCCAAATCCACAATCCAATTGGCACACTAACGGAAGCAAATGTAAAATGTGGATTTTGTGAGGAAGGCAGAACAAAGCATCTGGAAATTCACTTCTGCTTCCTCATCTCTAGCAACAGAGAACAAAATCCCAGAGCTCAGGTTCAAGCTGTGGGGCCCGCCCAGACCCAGTACTTAAGAATGAACTTAAAGTTAGAGAGATCATGTTTTGTTTTTTAAAGTTATGTTAAACTTCATGATCAAATCTTCAAATAAAATCATGTTTTTATTAATTGGAAAAAAAAAAAACCCAAAACATCTGCCTCACACTTTGTAAAGCAAACATTAAAAACATTCTGGTTGTTCCCAAAAAAATAAATAAACGTTAAAAAAAAAAATTTAAAAAAAATCCCAAAAAAATAAATAAACGTTAAAAAAAAATTAAAAAAAAAACACAAAACATTCTGGTTGGCATTTGTGATAACTCCAGGAGCATAGCAGAGACATGTGTCTTTAAAGCAAAAACAGGCAAGCGAAATTCCTTCTACCAGACGACCGCTTTAAGATGTGAATGACGTGAAGAAACGTTAAATACACCCCCAACTTTTGAAGTGCCCCATACAAGGAGCTGCGAGGTCAAGGGTTTTCCGTGATACAAAGTTTCCTAGAGTCAAGCGCCCAGGATCCAGAGTGAAAGCAGGATCTGTAAGAAAACCCGGAGCTAATTCCTATTGGTTCTCACCAGTGTTCTCTGCCCTGGAAACGCCAACATCCATAAAGCTGTTTCCAAAGCTTTTTCCAACTACATATTTCGATTCTCTTTCCGATGTATGAGGCTTGGCGCTTAATGATACAGGCAGAACATCATACTTATCTCTTGGGTATGAAATTCCCTCGTCAGCAAGGTTAATCAGAGTCCTTTTATTAATCAGTGTAATGCACTCTAAGCACTTCATTTATGGCGCACAGCAGCAGCTACTTCGGTTGGTAGTCATATTTTTAATTAAAATAACCAATGAATGATTTCACAGGAAAACTTTCTGGCAGGTACTCTATCTACTTTACTAAGTCACAACTTCCTCCCAAGTATCTCAAAAGCTCTTATTTGCACGCTCTTAATGAACAGACTCTTTATCACCTCATGTTCTTCTTTGCCAGAAATTCGCTCTCCTACTTTCTTATTACCATCTTAGGGTTCTTATCCCTCCCTGAACGTTCAAACGTTTTTCTTTTAAATTTTGCATTTCAAGCTGACTTTGTTTTTCTTTGCTGGGGGAGTTCTGAGATTTATCCTGAAAACATTAGCTATTAAAAAAATAGTCAAGAATTGTGCGTCAGTCTTTAATCCTTCAGGACTGTGTAAATACATGGACACAGGCAGAGCAAATGTCTGCTAATCCCGCCACGAGCAGTGTGTCCAAACTTTGGCTGTAATAACAGAAGCTTCTCATGTGTAGGGTTCTTTGAACTCAGATAACATTATAGCTGATAACTGTTGCAGAACCCAGGAGTAGCTGAAAGTTTACCAGAGATGTATACATCCCCCCTAAACACAGAGCAGAATCGATTCCTTCTTCCAAAAATGGCCCAAACACTTTTCTCCTTACCATATTTCCTGAGCTGGGGGCTTTCCACTCGGCTACTCAGGCATCTCTCTTCGGTTTCACATTTAAAGTAAACACACACACACACACACACACACACACACACACACACGATTACTCTGCATATTTTTGTAGGGGTGAATCTTCTAAAATCCCTTTAGAACTTTTGCCTACAGGTGCTATTGGTTGAGAAGTGAAATGCGTGTAGCCGTCAGATCACCCATGGCTATTTAAAGATTTGGGGGAGCCCAGGGTTTGAGTGGATCTGTCAGTACCAGTTATACAGGCGTGAGCCCTTTATGCTACTTAATCTTATTCTTATTTGTAAAGTGGAGGCTTTGTCAGGACCTTCTCTAAATCCCCTGCATGCTGATAATCTACGATGTTATGAAGGGGAAATTATATAAACAGATTATGTGTCATGGTCTGGGGAAGGTGAAAAGTAACTGTAGATACGATAAATCCACATGGGCATGGCCTGTATTTGAGAGTCTCTGTGGGGTTTTTGCATAGGAGGGAGGATCTGTCTCTTCTCTTCTCATTTAAACACTTGGCTCAAGAAGAGCTTAGAGCCATGGCTACACAGACTGCAGACCTGTGGGGGGGGGGGGGGGGGCGGAAGCGTGAGTGGCTCAGGTTAGTGGGAGGCAGCAGCTTCCTCACCCTCCCACTTGGGGGCTCTGTGCCAGGTTCTGCTCCATTCCTGCACTTTGTGCCCATCTGAGCACACAGAGAGCAGCCTGGCATCTGCAGAGGTGAGCGTAGGGGGGGCTCTTTGAAAGATAAATGCTAAGAATCAATCACATGCTGGGTTCTGAAGCCCTGGGACAATTCTGCCCTGGAAAGAAGGCTGAGTATAAAAAATGATTATACCCAATTAGTTAACTGTATTTCTGTTATGCTGCTACTGTTGCTGGTTATATTTTAGAGGACAAATTCTGATGTCTTGGCATTTCAGTATCAACACAAGAATGTTAATAGGTGCTGCATCACCGTGGTTTTCGAGGATGGCTTTACTTCAGGTTTGGTCCTCAGAGAGGGTAGTGTGATGGAAAGGACACTCTTGCTCCTTGGTACAAGGCGCCCCGTGACTGCAGCCCCATTTTAAGGTGTGAGTGTATGTGGGTGGCCTCTTGCTATGGGCTTTTCCTTTCTCTACAGGAGGCTTTCCTGCTATGCCGGGGGTTGAATTATCCAGAATCCACCCCCCTTTCCCCACACACATAGCATCACCAAAAAGTTCTGCAACATGGCTTCAAGATATTCTTCAGTATGTCGGCCCTGATCTGTATCTGACAATCTGCCCCCTTCCTATTTCTCTATTCAGTTTCTACGGGCACCGCGACAGTGTCTTGTTGCCAACCACCTACACACGTTTCCATCTAGGAGAGGGGAGTTATAAGCACAAGTTCACCCAGGGGGTGGGCTGAATCCCAAAACCCAGCTGTCTCCGGGGCTGATTTACTGGTTAATGATTATGAGCAAAGGACATGCAGATGAAAGGGGCTGAGAGGCTAAGGATGACAGATTCATATAATAAATGGGCAGGATAGACTCTCTAGGTGCTACTGGGAATCTAGGAAGAATAAAAAAACATCAACAAGCAAATGCATTTCCATATCAGAGCTGTGGCATATTATAGATGCATTCAGGACCTTCTTTCCTTCCTCGTGATTTGTGAAGCAGGCTTGGCGCTAAACCTATTCTGCTTCCACAAAGACAAAGACAGATGGAAACGCTGCATTGCAGATATCCTGAGTCCATTAGCTTGGACTGAAGTGGGCGACTTATGGCTCTAGCAGGCTGAAAAAGTGGCAGTTTTCTCATCTGGAAAATGAAAGGCTTGGACTGGATAATCTTCCCTCCAGTGCTAACATTCGGTGTTTTCTTTGATTTTACATCAAAATGGTGTTTTCTTAATCAGCTCTCTACTGCTTCCTTTCCGAGATCATTTTTCTTCCCATTGCAGAAGCAGGCACGAGTTTCCAATCAGTTGGTGCACAGAGCTGCCAAATCTTTGCTGCTAATCAGCAGGCAAAACATACTCTGGTTTCCAGATCTGGAACCAGCTTCTTTCCAAGGCAGTTAGAAGAGACTAGCTTTGCAAATTGCTTGTTGAGGAGATTTGAGCATTACAATGACTGATTAGGTATTGGGTATTGTTGCGATTCATTCATGATCAAAAGCAGGTTGCATACTGTATAGCCTGAAAACTCTGCTCAGAACACAGATTCAATGTACATAGCTAAATAGAAATGTATAAATGGGTACATACACGTACACATGTAGTGTGAGTGCCTATTTGCACACACACACACACACACACACACACACACACACTACAGGCACAGGAATGACAATCCCACAGCCCCAGAGTACCTATGATACTAATTGTCTCTGGCAGTACCTGTGATACAAATTGTCTCTGCCAGAGAAAAGTCCATATCAACGAATAACTTCCCTTCTCAGCGTCTGGAATCTCAAATTAGTATCTTAGCACTCAGTTCGATTAGTTGAATACAGATTCCTACATAAATTCAGATAATCCTAAGAGGGTCACACTTTAAAAAATCCTCAGTTCATTAGACTTTAGTATGAATTAACTTTGGATTTCCTTTTAAAGAGCAGATTTGGATAAGGGAAGAGCTGAGAGGGATGGGGAGCAAAATGGCCGTAGAATTCTAATGGAATGAAAAAGGGATTTGTGCGTGTGTGTGTGTGTGTCTAGGTTGGAGACTAGGCTACAGAAAAACAAACTTCAGGTTGGGTTCATTCATTATCTCATGATTAATTGGTATTGTGTACATCCCTATAAATGGCCTTTAATTAATTATTTATTTATTTTAAATGTTTATTTATTTTTGAGAGAGGCAGAGACAGAATGTGAGTGGGTTGGGGCAGAGAGGGAGGGAGGCACAGAATCTGAAGCAGGCTCCAGGCCCCGAGCTGTCAGCACAGAGCCCGATGTGGGGCTCCAACTCACGAGCTGTGAGATCATGACCTGAGCCAAAGTTGGATGCTCAACCGACTGAGCCACCCAGGCACCCCTATAAATGGCCTTTTAAACTAAATTATCTTTTCCCCTACAAACAGGGGGGCAATCGTTTATTTTAATTTTACTTATTTTTACAAATAGTTATACAAGCACAAACGTACTGAGTTTAAAAGCTCAAAGGGGGCATCCAAAGACACATAAATCTATGCCCTTGTCCCCTAGCCCCCAGTTCTTGGAGGCCACCACTATAACCAGTTTCTTGTTCTAGGTGTTGATAAATATTTTCACATATGATAGCATATTAAGTGCACTGGTCAGCCCCTGCTTCTCTTGCTCAATAATATATCTTGAGATTTTTCCATATCCATTCCAAAGATATACCATTTTCCAGTATACACAGAACTGCTCTCTTCTTTGTAATAGCTGTATAGTATTCGATTATATGGGTACACCATAATTTTTTAAACAATCTCCAAATATTGACGAGGATTGAGATTGTTTCCAGTTGTTAACCATTAAGAACTATGCTGTAGTGTGATGCCTATTCTTGTCCACAGGCCAGGTTATAACTCCTGAGAACTTTATACTTTTCATAAAGATTTCAGTACAGATGGTGTCCTTGGAAGTTGTGCAATACTGTGGCCCCTATAGGGCATTTCACACATGAGTGATTATACTTGTAGGATAAATACCCAGGAGTAGCATGTGTGTAATGTTTCTCACTTAAATGAGAGGATTTTGATTCCTGACCACCAGGCCCACTGGTAACATGGTCATCATCCTCTGAATGCCCTCCTGGTGCTCATCATTGGTGCTCAAAAGTAGTCACAATAGTCTAGATTTATTCTGACCTCATGTAACCAGTAAAAATTACCACTTTTACCTCTCTTGTTTTGGGCACTGCACTTTTATTAACGTATCTTAAGGTTGTATTAGCTTTTCGGCAGCTCCATCCCGCTGTTGGCTCCTTTTGAGAATACTGTCAACTCAAATCCCTAGGTCTTTTCTCAAATAGATTACCATTAAGCCATATTCCGCTTACCTTGTACTTGCATGGTGGAATTTTATACCTTAAAAGCAAACTTCTGTTTTACCCATGTTAAAATATATTTTGTTGTTTCAGCCCTAGAGCTTCTTCTAAGCTGTTATGTCTACATCTTCACCCTGCCATCAATATTTTATCTTTCTGAAGCTATTTTCCATTACCCACTCATAGTGGGCTTAATGCCATGGCTCTATGTTTTGACATTGAAAGAAGGTATATACAGTTAAGTTTGTTATAGCTTGTGAGACATGTGAGAGACAGAGAGACAGAGAGAGAGGGAGAGGGAGATGGGGAGAGAGAGAGAGAGAGAACATTTCCAACGACTAATGGGAAAAATTTATCTAAGATCTCAGTTCTAGGAACAGCTATGCTTCTCCTGGGCAATTAATTTGTGTATAGCTTGTGGGCATGGTTAATTGTGCAATACATCATGTTTTCCTATTTATTTTGGCTGCTAGGAAGTTCAAAGGCAAATTTGCAATGTGGTTCTAGTGTATAGGACACAGTTTATATTTTGTGTACCTATCTTACCCATTGATCACTTTTATTTTCCTACCTTATTTTTTCCCTTTGCCCTTGTTTTCTAGATCGTTAGAAAATCTGGTATTGTGTAAACTTTGTGAGTTGCCTTAAATCCTTCTTTGAAAGAGGAATTGTATAAACCAACAGGCAGGCAAATAAAAGCTTGGCATGATAAATTTTTTAAAGACACCAACTACATTCATATTTTAGACTGACAACAACCAGTAAAGTAAGGTTAAAAAGTTTAAGCTTGTAACTAATAGCTTTGGAATCACTCAAGAACATGATTGGGACTTAAAACAATAAGAGTCTCATGTAACTCACCACTTAAAATAAAATGCAATCATGTAAATGAGGTCTCAAACTCAAATGCCTTGAAGGGCCAGGAAGATAAAATAAATAAAAGAACAAGATAATGGAGAATAGTAGAAACAGAGAGACTCGCGAGTGCCTGTTCCACTCAAGTACATCCAAGTATGCTTCTATTTGCAGACCCATCAGTTACTAGTTTACAACATCTGAATCACTCCCCCCAATTTTATAGATGTGACCAAAGTAAAAGACCTTGCAAAAATCCTCACAAAACAGAGAAAAATCCTAGGCCACTAAATGAAACTTTCTCCCTCTTCTTTTTCAGGTTATTGGCTGCCTAGTTATAAATTAAAGTCTTCCTGGGCAACAGGCCTGCATCTCTCTGTCTTGTTTGGTCATGTGGAGTGTCTTCTGGTGTTACTGGACCACAATGCTACAATCAACTGTAGACCCAATGGGAAAACCCCCCTTCATGTGGCTTGTGAAATGGCCAACTTGGATTGTGTTAAAATCCTCTGTGACCGTGGAGCAAAGCTGAATTGCTACTCCTTAAGTGGACACACAGCTTTACACTTCTGTACAACTCCTAGCTCCATTCTCTGTGCCAAGCAATTGGTTTGGAGAGGTAAGCCTTTCTGGGTGGCTGACGTTGTCATCCACTTCCACACCTAAGGTTTTGAAACTTAGTGATCTTTACCTACTTTAGGTAATGTAGTAGGCATCCCATTTATAAGCCTCATTCGGGGGCCCTAAAAATGCATAAGTATGTATATATTTATATAACTATATGTGTTGGTCCAGGTTATTTAGTGATGATCACATTGAAATCATTATTTTTTTTCATTATAGGAGCCTTATTAGTTTACACATTTATTTAACAAATATTTATTTAGTTCTCATGAGGTGTCAATTAATGTGTTAAGTAACTGAAAAAAATAGTTTCTGCCTTCAAGAAGCTATATTCTAGGAGCGCCTGGGTGGCTCAGTTGGTTAAGCGTGCAACTCTTGGTTTTGGCTCACGTCATGATCTCATGGTTCCTGAGTTCGAACCCCACGTCAGGCTCCACAGTGCAACGCCTTCTTGGGATTCTCTCTATCCCCCTCTCTCTCTGCCCCTCCCCTGTTTGCTCTCTATCTGTCTCTCTCTCTCAAAATAAATGAATAAACTTTTAAAAAAGGAAGAAATCATATTCTAATAGGGGAGATAAATACTATCAAAATAAATTGGTAAATATATAATAATAAATTGGGAAAGGAGCAAAACAGTGTGTTGTGGAAGAGAATGCCAAGAGTGAACTATTATAAAATGTATAAAGACTTCTCTAAAGATATGACATGTAAGCTGAAACTTTATGAACGAGAGGGAACTAGCCATTAAAAAAGGAGCCAAGAGGAAGAAGAGTCCAGGTACAAGGAACAGTATGTGCAAAGTTGCTAAGGGAGCAAAACAACTGAACTATTCAACAGATGGAAGAAGGCCAGTGTGCCCGTGGGTGTGGGGTGGGTGGGAGGGACAAGAGGGTTCCAGGAGTGCCACACGACGACACTGGTTATGTTAGATCATATACAGCTTGCTGAGGGCCAAGGTATGGGGTTTAGAAATGGAGCCACTGAAAAGTTTTAAGCATGGCAATGACATGGTTTAATTTTCACTTAAAATCATCATTCTGGAGTTATACAAGAATAGGGCTGGAGGAGCCCGAGTATGGAAACTGGGAGACCAGCAGCAAAGCGATTTTAACAGTGTAAGTGAGAAGGGATGGTGATTTGTATCAAGGGGCTAAGTTTGATAGGAAGATTAGAAGATGGGTTTGCAATATATTCTGGAAGCAGAGTCAGTGGCATTTGGAGATGGATTATATATGGATGAGGGGTAAAGGAAAAGGAAGTTTCAAGCATCCTTGCCAGATTTCTGGCTTTAGAAAATGGGTGGAGAGCGATGCCATTTTTAAAAAGTGTTTTTGATGTTTTCATTTATTTTTGAGAAAGAGAGAGAGAAAGAGAGATCAGGGGAAGGGCAGAGAAAGAGGGAGGCAGAGAATCAAAAGTGGGCTCTGAACTGACAGCAGAGAGACCAATGCAGGCAGGGCTTGAACTCACCAACTGTGAGATCATGATCTGAGCCAAAGTTGGACGCTTAACTGATGGAGCCACCCGGGTGCCCCATAATGCCATTTTTCTAAGATGGAGAGAATTGAGGAAGAAGCATATATGTGGAAAAGATCATTAAATTAGTTTTTTAAAAATCATGTTTATAGAGCTATAATTTACACACAGTAAAGTTCGGTATTTTTGAGAAACACATAGTCATGAAACCATCATCACAGTCATTTCAAAAAGTTCCCTGATACCCTTTGTAATTAATCACCTCACTTTATCCCCACCTCCAGCAGCCACTGATCTAGTTTCTGTCCCTAAAATTTTGTCTTTTTCAGAATGTTATATAAATTAAATTACACAATATGGAGCCTTTCAGGTCTGTTTTTACCTACTTAGCATAATGCATTTAAGATTCATCCGTGTGGTTGCATTAGCCAGTATATTGAATCTTTTATTGTTGAGTTGTATTCCTTGTATGGATGCAACACAATTAATCTGGTCCCCAGTAGAGGGACATTTGGATTGTTTCTAATTTTTGGCAATTTTGGAAAAAAAAGGCTGATATAAACATTTGCCTACAGATTCTTATATGGGAATGTTCTCATTTCTCTTGGGTAAGTACTGAGGCGTGGGATGACGGATTGTAATAAATTTACAAGAAAACTGCTAACCCGTTTTTCAAAGGAGTTGTACGTTTTGCATTCTCACCAGCAACGTATGAGTTCAGTTGCTCTCCAGCCTTGCCAGAACTTGGTAATGTCAGATTAAAAGAAAAATTTATTTTAGTAAATTGAATAGGTATATAAAGTATCTCATTATGGTTTTAATTAAAATTCCCTTAATGACCAAGGATGTTGAGTATGTTTTCAGGTATTTTTTTGCCAGCTGTGTATTCACTTTGGTGAAATGTCTGTTCATATCTTTTGCTCCCTCTCCCCTTCATGAAAATGGGTTGTTTGTTTTCTTATTATTGATTTGTGAGAGTTCTTTATATATTCTGGATACTAGCCCTTTATCAGATATGTGGTTTGCAAATATTTTTATTCATTCTTTGACTTTTCATTCTTTCTGTCTTTAGAAGAGCAAAAGTATTTAATTTTAATAAATTCAATTTATCACTTTTTACCTGTTATGATTTATGCTTTGAGTGTCCTACCTAAGAAATCTTTGACTAATCTGAGTAATAAAGATTTTCTTCTATGTTTCCTTCTAAAGATTTTATAATTTTAGGTCTCAATTTTAGGTGTTTGGCTTATTTTGAGTTAATTTTTGTATATAGTATAAAGTACAGGTTGAGGCTCATCTTCTTTATATATGGATGAATTATCTTATATATACAACTGCTTCAATATCTTTTACTGAAAAGACTATTTTTTCACCTTTGAGATGCCTTGGTATCTTTGTCAAAAATCAAGTGGCCAGGGGCGCCTGGGTGGCGCAGTCGGTTAAGCGTCCGACTTCAGCCAGGTCACGATCTCGCAGTCCGTGAGTTCGAGCCCCGCGTCGGGCTCTGGGCTGATGGCTCAGAGCCTGGAGCCTGTTTCCGATTCTGTGTCTCCCTCTCTCTCTGCCCCTCCCCCGTTCATGCTCTGTCTCTCTCTGTCCCAAAAATAATAAATAAACGTTAAAAAAAAAAAAATTAAAAATTAAGGTTACACAGCTAGACACTAGAGCCAGGTTTTCAGTTACTTGTCCGTCTGACTCCAGAACCTTCCGTTGTGGTTTGTGTTATTTATAAAAAAAAAAAAAAAAAAAAAAAAAAAAAAAAAAAAAAAAAAAAAAAAAAAAAAAAAAAAAAAAAATCAAGTGGCCAGAAATATATGAATCCATTGATCTATATATTTTTTGCTGATGTTTCACTCACTTAATTGCTGTAGTTTTATATTAAGTCTCAAAATCAGATTGAGTTTCCCCAGATCAGTTTTAAACATGAGAAGTTTCAGATTTCTTTTAGACCTCAAAGTGAATGAGTCAAGGCTGCACTTGACATAAACATATGGATTTCAGAAGAGAGTTCTGGACTAAAGCTGTAAGTTTAGGAATTGTTGGCCTATAGATTGTATTTGAAGCCAAAGAAATCAATGAAATCACTTGGATGAAAGGTGTGGAATAACAAAAGAGAAGCGAGGACCAAGCCCCGATACATTCTTACATTTAGATACTAGCAGGAGGGAGAGAGGCCAATAAATGAGAGTGAAATGGATTGGTAAGTGAAGTAGGAGGAAACCCAGGAGCATTTTTGGCATCATAGGGATTAAGAAAGAGGCAGGTTCAAGAAGGAGGAGGTGGTCAGCTGTATCAATGGCTACTTGAGAGACTTAATTCATTAGATGTTCATTAGATTACGTGACAGAGTTATCACTGACAAAAGAAGTTTGGGGGAAATGGTGGGTGTAGAAACCATATTAGAATGGTATAAGGTGTGAATGAGAGGTCAGAAACTAAGGATGGCACGTATAGACGACTGTTAAAAAAATGTCTGGCTGCACATGTATGCGTAAGAGTAGCATGATTGCTGAAGGGGGCTAGGGGACATAAGAGATAGTTGTTGGAGATAAAAGGAAATATAGTTGTAGTTGGAGATAAAAGGAAATATTTGTGTGCTGAAGGAAATGGTTTTCAGAAAGCAAACAGTTAAAAATGCATGAGACAGAATAACTGAAAGGTTCAAATCTTTGAGGTTGAGATGGGGTGAAATCCAGAGACTGTGAGATACATCCCCATGTTTAACAGATGGTCTAAAGTAAAAGATGTCTTTAAAGAGTGTTCATTGATATGGTGGTGGTGAGATGAAGGAGTTCATGTCTGGTATGAACTTATACAATTAATGTGTGAGGCAAAGTCATCAGGCAAAAATGAGAGCAGAAAGGGTGGACATTGTGATGAGAATAGGAAGGTATGGAGGTGTCATGGGGGAAAGAATGGGGAAACAAGCTTAAAGATGCCATGGTCTTCTCAACCTGTGAGTATTTGGTGGGAAGGAAAATCAGTCCAACTTATTCTCCTTCTTGCCTTTCCTGAGAGGAAAGGTCCAGTGCAGAGATGCATGGAGAGGGGCAGGTGTCCATCAGGGCTTAGCCACCTATGGCACACGGCCATTACCACCGTTCACATTTACTTATACATTGATGGCTTTCAGATTTAGTTTTTATTTTAATTTATACTTTAATTCACTAATTTAAAATTTTAAGGTTGTCATTTTAAAAATTTTTAGAAAGTTAAGAAATTGTATCATTTGTTGAATTACTGACTTTTTATATTGCTGCCTTTTCATGTGACTTCATCAACCACAGACTGACAGAAAGCTGCCAAGGCTTTCACTCCCCCGAGCTGTAATCAGAGGGAGCCTCATTCCCAGAGCAAGGGCTTTTTGCCCATCTCCTTTATCCCTATTGACATAGGGAGACCACCCGGAGATGAGAAGGAGTAAAGGGGTATGGAGAGACCAAGCAATGCTCACTCCCTGTAGGCTGACACTAATGAACGAGGCTAATAACAATCAAAGAGGAAGAGTGGAAGTCAATT